GAAAACAAGGTCTCGGATGTCTTGTAACCAAGCACGAGCCAATCACCAAGGCGATTTCGGTAACTGCCTCAATCTATACCGTCAATGTCGACAGTCAGTCGGCCGAAGAGAAGTCGAACAATCAGAAGGAAAGTGAGTTGAGCGAGGTGCCCGACGGACAACAACACATTTTTGCCAGCCCCGATGGGTTGCCTCGCCAGATTTGTCTGATCGGTAGCACCGGTCTTTCTGACTCCCTCCTCCGAGTGCGCAATCCAGCTTGGCTGGTCCGAGCTGAGACGCCCAGCGGTGCTGGAGACACTCGTGCCCCTTTGGCCACCTCCGAGTCGAACCTTGACGACTCAGGCACACTTACAATTACCGCGTTGCCGGGCCACCTTCAGGCCGCTCTGACGCCAGTCTCGGCGCCCTCGACGACAAAGTTAAGCGCAGTCACAGCCGACGTAGATAGACAACTTTCACTATTAACAGAGCCTAACACTCAGCATCACCAGCCTCTTGCAGACTCTGGAGAACAGCTCATGCTGCTGGCCAAAGACGAGCGGCAAGATTCACTGAAAGGGGGGATGACAAAAATGAAAACAAATTCCGTAGGCATGGATAAGATTCATCATATTTACTATTATTGAGATTACTTGCATTTCGAGTGAAAGTATTTGGTGAAGAGATTCGAAGGTCGATTCCACCAGAAGACGACGGCGGATTCGTCTTGACCAGCTGACGATTGGCTTTAATAGAACATTCATGCTGACGCTGTTTCCAAGGCAATCTCTTTCGATTCTGGTGAAAAGGTGCTAGTATTTCGTCTGTCATATGACGGACATCATCAGAGCAAGATATCATCGTCACAACCGAATTCAAGCTAACGAGTCAAGAAAACTCACCGGCAAATCCCTAAAAAGTGGTATACTTGATAAAAAAGTAGAGTATATATACCACTTTTTAGGGATTTGCCGGTGAGTTTTCTTGACTCGTTAGCATGAATTTAGTTGTGACGATGCTACCTCGCTCTGATAATGTCCGTCATATGACGGATGAAAGCTTAGCACCTTTTCACCGGAATCGAAAGAGATTGCCTCGGAAACAGCGTCAGCATGAATCTTCCA